CTGCATTGGAATATATTTCCACACTAGTTTAGTTTGTCTGATATATAACACAGTGGTATCGAAACCAGATGTCCAATAGTGTTTGACTATTGAGCTACGGTAATCAGCAATAAATCATCATCAAAATATCATCTCCCAAATAGCATCCAAACCTCGCCAGGTTAACTAGCTTACTAGTTACTAGTCGGTACTAAGCCAGGATAAACAGGAAAGGTTGGACATAGGGCTAGCAACCTTACCCCAGAAAACAAATCTAGCCGCTGAAGAAACTTCAAAGCACAAACAAAATATAAAAAGTAAAAACAAAATTATTCCTGGCTGGAATCGGAGAGGCGAAATGACATCGCTTCGTGAAAGCCTTCAAAAAGCCAATTGGCCGATGAGTCTTCTGGTTTCTTCTCTTCTCTTTTCTCGATGAAAGCAAAAGTATCAAATGGGGAAATAAAAATGTCCACACAATGTTTGAAGCTAGCTGGCAAGACTGCCCACATTGCAAAACAGGTAAGAAGGTATAGCATACAAATGCTAGGAATCTGCAAAACCAGATAGAATCGAAGTGGACTCTACAAACTGTCAACATCACAGTCAATAATCTACTCCGATATTGTCACACAGACAACAACCACGAGCACAATCACTTTTCCAGTGGTTATCATGATGCACCCAACACAACCGAAGACTCTCTCTCATGCAACGGGAACCAATCTCCTCCTGCATGGTCAGGATCATGACAGCAAGATGGATTCAACTCAAAAGGAACGAAAGTCACAATCATACAATGTTACACTACACTACACTACACTACACTACGCACCTACAAATAATGCAGATCAAGATAAGAATGAGGAATTCTACACACAACTGCAATCAACACTGGACAAGACCCAACATCAGTTGGCGACATCAAAATTCTAATGGATCGGATGACATGAATGACAAACTGGTAGTGGACAACACAGGAAGAAAGCTAACCATGGGTGGAAGAGCGCTCAGAGAAATGAACGAGAATGGAGAATTGTTTGCAGAATTCTGTGCATTCAACGATTTGGTGACTGGAAGCGAAGCAATCTGTTCAAGTACAATGATATCCACAAAGCGAAATGGATTTCACCACACACCAGGACACACTTCACTGAAAATCTTATCGACTTCATCTCAATATGATGAAAGTGGAGATGGAGATGCAGCCAGCCTACTGAACACAAGATCAGATGAAGAAGGCGAGCAGGTGTAGGTTCACACCACTCACTATCTATCCAGTGCAAGGAACCTACCTTCAAAATCAAGTCGAAAGCCTTCAAGGAAGTTGGTGATAGACGACCACAGTTCTCGTCCAACACCCAGAACAGAAACTGAACTAAAGGGAAAAACTACAAAGGACATCTTCACGTCAGTCAGTCATCAAGAAACAATGGGAGTTATTAGGCAACATCCCCGAGGAAATCTGCGTGGAAAAACACTGAACCTACGTGAAAGCGATGTGGAAGGAAACCTGCATAAGCGTATTAGGAAGCAAGAAGAAGCAAGACAAGACAAGGAATGGATCTTCACGGACACATGGAAGCTGAGAGAGCAGAGAGAGGAAGATGGTGAAGCAGAAGATGAACCAGTGCAGCGCAGTGCAGTGCAGGGATGAACAACGAAAAGGGGAACTGAACACAAACTATAAAACACTACACTGAACAAAGAAGTGAAGAAGAGTGCATGCAAAGACAAAAGACCCTTCTACGACACACTTGCAAGTGAAGCAGAACAGACTGCAGGTAGGAGAGACAGAGACCTGACAACATTATATCAAATAACCAAATGAAACCGATGAAAGATAGTGAAGGAGACTTAGTTAGCACCGAAGCGGAGAAAGAAAAGAAACGATGGGCTGATCACTTCAAGAAGCTCTTCAATCAACCACCACCATCTGCTGCAACTCATCCAGAAATACTACCAGTGAACACAGGCACTCCGACAAAAGCAGAAGTTATGTCCTGAACACCATAAAGCTGCTGAAATCCGGGGAAGCAGAAGGACCAGATGGAATCCCACCATAAGCACTGAAAACAGACGCAGAGACAACAGTGGACATGCTTGCACCACTACTGCAGAAGGTTTGGAAGGAAGGAAAAGTACCTACCTCCAACTGGTTGGAAGAAGGGGTACCTTGTCAACCTTCCAAATAAGGGAGACCTAAGTGTCTGCAAGAACTGGCGTGGGACCATGCACCATCCCTGTCCATCCCAAGCAAAATACTTAGCCGCATCATCCTGGAGAGACTAAACAATGCTCTGGATTCAGAACTAAGACCGGAACAGGTTGGCTGGCTTCAGGAAGAACAAATCACAATCGGACCGAGTTGCTACGCTACGCTACGCATAATCATAGGACAGAACATAGAATGGCTGCCAACTATCTACCTTAACTCAACTTCATCGATTTTGAAGTCTTTCGACTGAGAAGTAATTTAGAAACTGCTTCAACACTACGAAGTATCACAAAGCTTCACCAACCTCATCCAAAAACTATATGACGACTCCACGTGCCAAGTGATTCACAATGGAAAGCTCACTGACGCCTTTGTAGTGAAGACAGGAGTAAGACAAGGCTGCCGTCTACTATCACCAATCATCTTCCTGATTGTGGCCGACTGGATCACGCAGCAAACCGTGAGGAGCGAGATGGCCATACGCTGGCTGGACAGACGAAAAGACCCCAGGAGAAGATTTGAATCTCGCCGATGACGATGATTTATGTCCGATGTCGCACAAGCTTGAAGATCTACAGGCGAAAACCAACAAGTCGACAGAACAGGCAGTGCAGCAAAAATGGGACTTCAAATGAATGTAGAGAAGACAGAGGTGATGAAGATATCCAATCACCACCACCACCAACAACAACAAGCATCAATCACCATCAACGGGAGAAATCTAAAGGAAGTAGTCTCCTTCATCTGCACACCTACCTAAGCAGCATCGTTTCAATTACAGGCAGCACGGGTGCAGATGAGGGCATCAAAGCCAGGATCGGAAAGACAGCAAGACAGGCCTTGCTTCATTAACTTGAAATCAGTGTGAAGATCTACTTCACTCCACTCAACATAAAGAACAAGATCCAGATTTTAAACACCAACATCAAGTCAGTGCTTCTATGTGATGGTTGAGACTTAGCGCGTCACGAAAAGCATTTCCAACAAACTACAGACATTCGTCAACAGCTGCCGCCTACGCTCAATCGATACTGAAGATCAGATGGCCGGAATAATAAGAATAAGCAATAAGGAGCTCTGGTTGGTTGGCTGAGGACGAACCAACCAAGAACCCATCGCAGAAGAAAGTGGAGATGGATTGGGCATATACTGAGAGGACCATTCAGGGACATCATGCCCCAGGCCAGGCCCTCGAGGGGAACCCGAAGGGGAAACGACGAGTTGAGAGTCCAAGGGTAACATGGAGGAGATTGTGTGATGAAGAAATGAAAGCTTGTGGACAGTCCTGGAGCCAGGTTCAAAACACTGCAGAGAAAGGAGTGCAATGGAGACGTGCTACTGAAGCCTTATATCCCAAAACGAAGCCAAGGGATAAGTAATAATAATAAACCTGAGTGACTGGGTACGCGCATAAGCGATGGGAATTTCAACAGTAAACGAAATTCAACCATAGATGGTCAGGATTATCAATGTCTCGTTTAGATTCATAACGTCGTGACATGAATTATTTAAATCGCACAGCTGTGCGATACACATTTTGCAACATGAATTCTGCAAACAAGAAATGAACATAACTGCGTTATTTAGTACTAATAGTACATAGTAGGAATCGGTACTCACGGTGCCTTGTGGTGACTAGGCATGTCCCAGCCACCTGAGACGATGAAGGTTCACAACCGCATTGACTGACTTTCCTCTCCTCCGTAAAACTCTACATCTAACTTCTGCACTATTAATGTGGCGACATCACGACACATCGTCTATTCTACCAAGGCAACGATGGTTAAACATCAGAAGCCTTCTCATATCCTCTACCTTCAATAACCATGCACCACATACATGTACTATAACAGAGAGAACCGCAGCGCAGTAAACCCGACCCCTAATTGACAGTCGGTTATTACGATGGTGCCATCGATGACATGAATTGGTGAAAAGCTATCGAGCCTTTAGCATCCATATAGATTTCGTCCGGCACTGACTCATCAGGGCTAATTCGACTTCCCAGATAAGTGAAATAGTCAACGCACTCAACCATTTCACTTGCAGCTGTTAGATGTGGCACCACTGAAGACTAGTCACTGAGCAACAATTTGCATTAGGAAGGGAGTGATAAACGAATCTCATTGTACCTTGCCAGAATCTTCGCCTAACAGGACTATTTCATCTGCGTACTTTAACTCTACAGGAAATTCTACCGTCACAACATCAATCCCTACACAGTCAGACGACGAGAGGAAGACCTGCATAAGTGATAAAGCTGCATGAAAATGGTGAAAGTGGACACCCTTGATGGACATTTTTGTTGTTTACTCACTGACAAATTCAATAAGTAACCTTTGTTATCAATCTTATTTTTAATCCTACACGAAAATAATATACGTTACTTCTGGCCTTAAGGAAACAATAATCACTCGATAAACATAAAAAGGTTATCATCCTATAGCTTATAAGCTGTCATGGTACCTAGAGAAATGATCACATAAATCGCAGTTTATTTTTCGGTTACTTTTCTTACTGACCTCAGATCATAATCCCATCTGATGATAAATGATAGTTACTGCACACTGTATAAATAGTGTTTAAATCGATAAACCTCGAGCTGATAACTGATGAGCTTGAGTCTTAAAAACTCACCTGAATAATACAAGTACGCACAGTTGAAAAGTCTTTTAAAAAGCTGCTTCATCTAAATTTTACAATCAAATGCTGCAATGAATCACCAACGTACCCATGTGCAATAGGCATATTACAATGTGAATGAAGATGGGAAAAAAAATATTAAGAAAATAATAAAACTTACATTCATCTGCTTAACTGATCGTAAATCCTCGATTCGTCTGCGCAAGAATATCCATGACTCTACAAGTTCTGGAGATTTATCTTGCAACATATAAAGTTCAGTAAGATTGTATACGTACGCCAAACCTAGACGTTTGGCATACCACGACATCTGAAAGTAAATATAAAACTAGAAAAATACTAATTTATCTAAAAGGACGGCATTTCATGAAGAAAATTCAAGAGCTCCTCCTTTTAAGTAGATTAGCATACTGTGAAGAACATATAGAAACTTATTATATATATATATATATATATATATATATATATATATATATATATATATATATATATATATATATATATATATATATATATATATGAGAATGTATATAGCACATTAATTCATTTCCTTAAAATGATTAATTACCAGTATACATACTCTTGTTAACTTATCTTTCGAATCAACAGAATCAAAAAATTGCAAATTCTTATTTTGAAAACGTCACAGCCCCACAAGTTATAAACTGACAGTATGAAAACCATCGTAGTGTACTAAGATTAGTCTGTTGCCAAGTATTATCAAAATCAGTGGGGGTAAACTCAGTAGTCAAGTATACTTTTGTGTGAATGCGTGACATTTATTGGTAATACTCGGTTACCGGATGATGATTGAGGGTGGAATGAAAACTTGGGCTGCGGCAGAATTCGAACCAGCGAGTACTGGGTTTCTGTACCGGTGCTCGGTTACGGAAATTTCTATAGGTGAGAGTTGGGATCTGTAAGGGATTAGATATGAAATTCATTGACTGAACAAACGAGCAACGATACATGATTCATAAATGTTGAGAAACTTATATAATGTCAGAACTGCAGCTTACCATTAACAACGTAAACTTTAACTCTCCTATGACCTTCGTTCTTCAAGTTGATTAGTTATTTTGAATAGAAGCAACGATTTAAAATCATACTATATCGGTCACCATCTGTATACGAAGTGACTTCTTTTTATCAAAACGCAATGCAGCTAGTTGATCACTGAGTGATTGACTTTCGGTACTAATTCAGTCTGCATTCGGAAAGCGGTATTCATCAATCACAGTCTATCAGACTACCTAAGCCAATATTTATGAGGCTTCAGTAAAACTCGTAGTCAGCTGTACCAGACCGATAGCTGCTACCTTGACACAGTGGTCAGGTAAGTATATCGCAGTGACTCGACGAGCTACATTGCATGGAATGCTTGTCCACTCAAGGTTCTACAATGCTCGAAAGGTTGGCCGGAAAATGGTAAGACGAAAGTAGTCACCGTTGTAGTGTAAATTACTACGCCATGATCGGGGCCCGATGGCGAAGTCGTACTGCTGCTAGCTGGATGGACTGGGGCAGCAGTAAGACGTTTCCCTCGGAAGACCAGCAGTGCTAGGTTGATATTGCTTTCAGGGTGAAAAGTGGGGAGAGGGGTATTGAGAATGCCAGCAAGATGAGTTCTCTCTATCCAACGTTAGAATAACCAATGGAGACGTGCTACTGAAGCCTATATCCCACTATGAACCCAAGGGACAAATAACAATATAGGAATAGTGATTATGTCGAAGATCGTAGCGTCCATGGGTAGCGGCCGTCTAATCGGACCGTGAAAATAGCAAATTCGAGAAAACGAGGCAGGTTTTGAACCTGGGCGATGTCGTGACTACATATTTTTACGCACCAAGAAGTTCTGTAATAGTAGCCGACACGTCATATTTCTTGATGTGAATGCGACATTCAATCCTGTCGACCGTGTTATGGCAGTGTCTGATTTTGAAGGGAGTACCGCGTAAATATATAATGCTTATCAAAGCTAACTACTCAAACTCACGCAGCCGTGTAAGGGATTATGGAGAGTTGTCATTTAAGTTGACAACAACTAGTGGTGTACGCCAGGGATGTCCACTGACACCGTTCCTATTTAACTTCGCCATAGGCATACTAATGGTGTTTGAAAATGACCCCAACGAATGACAACCTCCATATGCCAAACATATGTCGCTACATACATTGGGTTTATTGCCGAAGTTATTATCCCAGAAACGCTTAAAATGAACTTATGAATAGAACTAGAAAAAACATACTATAATTTGAAAGCCAACACTTACATCAGTTGAACGGTCACCTGCTTGAGCCCATATTTCATCAACAAGCTGGGCTAGCATACCAATAGAAGAGGGAATATTTGTAGGTAAGGATAACAGTCCTAAAGCTTGGGGCCATACATCCAAATATGGTACAATGGCTTTCAACCGATACTCTAAAGCCCGATATAAAAATTCATCTACCTCAGCAGCTGTAGATGGAGAGGAGGATAAAGAGAATCTAGAGCTGAAACAAGTTAATAAATAAATTGGTCAATAAAAAATAAAAGTATAGTTATCATATAACATATAGTTAAAATCGTTCAATAGAAAATTAATGTATGTTAAACGGTTATCTTTTTTTTGGATGTTGTAGACTAAAGTGATCATCCTTTTGCACAAGGGCAATGCGAGACAGATTCTATTTAATATGATATTTTAGCAACTTTCAAGCAAGAAACAGCTAGGATACCTGAAATTATAAGAACTGGATCACAAATTGCAATCAAGGAAAGGTTATGATCGCTATTAATTAAATATGCTTAGATCAACTTGGTACATAAACATAAACTTGTATACTGGGTCATGAAGCAGGACTAAAAGCGGCGTCGAAAAACTCAACCCAAATGAAGATGTGGCTAGTCCGCTTTAACCCTCAACCTAGTGGCAGGGTGTCCGAATTTCAACAAGTGGTAATGAGTTTGTGTTCCTTAAAAAGAAAACAATTATTCGAGGCCTTCATGCAGTGATGCCGCACCTCCTAATGTAAAGAGAATTTCTAATGTTTATCAGTGGATTCCCAGATACGATGGGTTAATCAAGGGATGGTGTTTAAAAACACCAACATTGAACTAATCGTACATGTCAACTCAAGGATTAGTAATAAATCAGTAAGATGAGTCCATTTTGGTTAACGAGGCTGCACATCCTGAAGTTGCTCCACTGTTTTGTTGGTTTGATTTCATGTCAAAAGCTCGAGAAGTGATGTATTAAGATGACTAAATCGCTACGCTCAGGTGTCCAAACAGTATCTAAGACTTCCTATAAATTTGGATATGAAGCAGCGATAAAAATCCAAACTACAAATATGACTCGCTCTATACGCTCTACGTCTTCAGACATTCATTACATTATTCATACCACTGTTATCACATTGTTGCTATGTTGGTATGTGAAACGTGTTCTATCCTCAGCAGTTCTAATTTTATATGAATCGTTATTTCAGTTAGACGTTTACTAATGCTTTGAAATGAGTTGCTTGTATTGTTTTCAGACACCAAATAGATTCTTTCACATATCTAAATACTGGTGCAATATCTGATTTAATGATTATCAGGTCACTTACGCGATCTACGCTCGATACCTTCAAAGTCCAGCTCTTGAAGAGCGGACAGAGTACAAGTGTGGCAATTTCACTTTAAAGACTAGCTGTTAATACATGCTGTATAAAGAGATCTAAATACGTTTTTCAGACGAAGAGCTTTGAATAACTTCGCCTTCCGTCATCTTAAAAGTTCCCTGTGCACATATTTGGAGACCAGATGGTATAATTATTTAGTCTTGCCTATGTCCGAGGCTGCAATACTTAACTAGACCGCAATAAACCGGCATACGTGCCATCATACCAGCTAATTTATTTTGAGTAAGACTTCGTCGGTCAAGGGGTCGTACAGCAGTGTTTGTCACTGCAAGGAGTGGCTGGATGTGTTATAACCTATGGAGAGACATCAAGGTGAATTGTGTATGAAGAGTGGAGCACGTTAAGAATCCCCACTTTTCCCATTCTTATTTATTATTGTCACAGATATACTTATGGAAGCCTCTGTCTCCTCGTTTAACTGTAGGAGTCAACCTCTTATTAGACCAAGGATAAGCAGACAGCATGGTCCAGTAAAGCGAACATGAAGAATCATCTGAACACATTGAGTGACAGTTTGAGATGCGTTTCTTATCACCCTCTTACCGCAAATTGTGCTTCAGCACTAGTCTGTGATGGCAACCTATCTGGAAATAGGTTGAGAGTGTTGAAGAATTCACTTACTTGGGATGTCAGATCAGCCCTGGTGTGTGAGTAACTGACAGAATTTATTTGTAGATACAAAAGACCTGATTGGCTTTTACCAACTTACGCCATACATGGTGTCAGTACGGAATTCGACCGCCTCCTAAGATTCAAGTGTACCGCACAGCAGTTTCAGTGTGAAACATGGCCATTGAATGTATGTGATACGAGGTTTCAAGTCTTCCACTACCGTTACATCCGTAGCATAAACAATGTTTCGTAATAACACCTTGTCAGTAATGCGGAAGTAAGATGAAGAGTTTCGAGAAAAAAGAGGCAAGTGCTAGACATGCCTGGTCATGGTCTACCGCATTCCAATATGTTCCTGAAGTAAGTTTACGCTCAAAAAATGTTAGAGGCAGTCAAGATTTAAACATGAAATCAGTGCATTAAGATTTTGACGATTGTTCTTTGGGAAATTTAGACTTACAGGTCAACTTTTACAATATTTTACTACTTTTAATTACTTTCGGCCTTATTACTCTATCATTGGTATTGATGTGCTGATACTAGATGTAATAGCTTGGACTGTTACGCAGTAGTTTCAAGTGATACGCTGACACCCAGTGACTGATTTACAATCCGTAGATGACAAAATGCAGTCATCCAAACGCTTGGACCGAAGAGAATACTATTATTTCCATTTTTAATACAAAAACGCAGTTTTGTGTTTACTAGCTTACGTCATCCTTTGACGCTAGTGAGTTAACTGACTACCTAACAAAAGAAGAGTACGTTGTGCAGCAGTCTTTTTTGTCCTATTACACACGATTGTTGAAAGCCTGAGAAGGTTACAGGCTTTTGATAAAAGGTGTGTTTCTTACATTGTTTGCGTGGTAAAACCACAAAAGGAGTAGTTTTGAGATTAGAAGTAGAGCACCAGGAAAGAAATTCAAGTTGGTCGGTGCAACTGATGACTTTTACTCATTGAGATGCGTTACACATGCCGAGTTTCCATCAAAATATACGTGCGATAATTACTGAAGTAAGAATAGGCTAAGATGAAGCAGACGGTGATCAGACAAAGATGCTTTATCAATATATGAAGTCCCTGACTATTATTCTGAACTACGTAGGCAAGTACAGACTGCTTGACAGGGATCCTTAACATGACAGGAATCGTTGGTTGAGAACTCAGTAATGTGGTACAGCACTAGTTTATTATATCTTTTCTGTCATTGAAAGTTTGAACACTTTCAATAAAATTTGCTTAATGTTTCCTTCTCATTTAATAAACTTTTGCTTACTTCGGCATATTTCTTCTTCTGACCACTTCTTCTTTGCATGCTGTTATGAAGTAAGGTGACTTAAAATTGTGCATATATGTGCAAGTTTCTACGTTGATTTATCTGTCTAACCGTTTTCATCATTCTCAATATAGAGAAAATTCTATCGCCTGATCCTCATTTATGCTCTCTCAATTCACAATATTTTACCTACTTCTTATAATTCCTTTCACCGCTTGTAAGTTCTAGGATTTTGTGTTTTAGTAGTGTAAAGTGAAAGGGTTCCAACTATGTGGGAAGTTCCAGGACGTCACGTCACTTTGTCTCCTTGACATCGCCAAAAGAAACAAACGTTAAAGGTACTGTGTAGTATGAGAAAATGCTTAAGTAACTACTGTATATTACTTTCAGTAAAGATTCAACTGACAATAACCGGTAACAACAAAACACGACTCCCTTTACCGTTTCCAATATATTTTATGGTTCTGTTTACGAACACAAATATTACAGTGCTCAAATTCGCATTATCACACCATTATGCAACGGTAGTAACTCAAATAAAAATTAGCTAATCACTAAAGTGCTAAAGCACTAACCATTTTAACTCCGAGAAACTCCTTTCTATTTCAGATGATGCATGTTTTTACAAGTTGAGTTGTTTAAAAAAACACCAAACACCGTTACCACAAAATATTTTTAAATAACTAAAGAAGTTTTACTGAATATTTGATCTACAAAACAAATAAAAACGAATTGATCACATACTCATGTTCATTTAATCTATTGTTTTCATCGGTGATATTACGAATTCTCCACTGTTGCATAACTTCAGCCAACTGTTGATTACGTGAGGCATAAAATGAAGAACTATATCGATAGCACCCTGAGGTGCTAAAAAAGAATGCAATCCAGGTGGTAAACCCTCAGCTTGACAGCAAGCTTCAATCGCTTCACGTGACCAGCCATATTTCGGAATATAGGTTAATGTGGATTCCAGCACACGCGCCTTGAGATTTGAGTCCAGTGCGAGTGAAGATACCTCAGTACCATGAAAGTCATTATGGCCACTGGATGCGGTGGACGCTAGAACCAAGTAAAATTTAAGAATGGTATGTCAAGAATTGTTATTTTACAGGACAGATCGAAAACAATATTAGTAAAACATATTGCTTGAGAGTGAATGAACTAAGTACTTTAAGGGAAATGAAAAATCGACATGATTAGTCAACTATGAATATTGAGTACAAACTCGGTAAAACATGAGCACTAAAAATGGACCACAAAGTATAATAATAACATACAGAAAGATGATAAACAAAATGAAGGGACAGAATATAATACAATTAACCCCATAGTACATTCAAATACGTCTCATTACTTTTCAAAAGCAGAACAGAAAGAAACAACATAGTTTCATAAACAAGCTATACTCAGAATCGTTTCAAGCTAGTTATTCGCATGACTTCTCGGGATCAATCCAAAAATTGTTAAGGTGCTAGCAGGTGTTAACGCAAAACACCTATCATTCACCCGCGACGTCACTCCGTAGACTGATCACGTCTCCGTTAACAAATCCCAGAGCAAATGAACAGTAAACGGTACGGAATTTCAGGGACCTCAACCAGGTAGTCTACATCTCCCTACAGGACTCAGACCAACAGTAAGAGACTTCCCCGACTGGTGCTACATCTTTGTCTGACCACTCTGAACCCTTTTCCAACCCAGCCCAGATTCCCGAAGCATGGTACACCGAGGTAGGTGGTGGGTCGGCATTCTCAGTACATATCCAAGCCATCTCAGTCGACTAAAGCTCACAATCTCATCAATCGACTTGTGTATATAAGTTGCTTTTTACTGCTATTGGTTTAAACACACTCCTTTTGATAATCTGCTCACAACCAGTCTACTTTTATTGAATACTATGCATATTTATCCTGCCATTAAACTAAACAACTAGTCACATAAACCTTGATACGATAAGCGATCAGCCACATCCATTTTGAGGGATGATGATGCTATACAGTTGCTAAAATATTAATTAGTAAAAGAAACGAGATTGCAATTAGTGAGCCATTTGGTTGAATGTTACGTAAACATTATATATATATATATATATATATATATATATATATATATATATATATATATATATATATATATATGTAAAATAACTTACAAAAATGAAGAGATTCTTGAAATCGAGGATGATGCGTATAAATGGATGACGACATAGCGACTGTGCTGCACTTTGTACAACTGTCTACGACAGAAATATGCACACCTGACTTGGAAAGCAAAACCAAATCTTGGTTTAAATGGCTGTGAGAAAAATTGTGTAATATCAACAAGGTTACTAGCTTGAGAAATGTAAACACGATATGATTTTAAAATAATGATTAAAATGAATTTTAATAACCGCATATTAGCAAAACTTTTAATGAAATAATGTTAAACCCAGACTCTTGGTCAATTTACGTTTGAGCTTTTTTCGTTACTCATTGTGGTCGGAGCCAACTGGAATGAGTTTTCTTACATTCATCAGTTCGGATGAAGTTGAGGAAACCCAGTGGTTTCCGCTAAATTTGGATGTAGCTTACCAGTTGTCTGTACGGTTGATTCTAGAGCAGACTGAATATTACACCACGTTTCAGTAGGATAAGAACTGCTATGCTTAAATAAGTGCTTGACCGTCTCCCCCTCCCTAAATACACACCTGACACTTGTCTCCCATTTGGTTCCATACAGGTTTAACTGCCATCTGTTTTCGGCAATCAGTAAGGCGTAGACATACACGAGCCCGTACTTATGTGCGATCGCAGTTCAAACAAGTACTTCAGAAACAGCGGCAATACTCCACCGATCCCCTCCAATGATGGCTTGTAGTAACATGATCTGTCTGTCTCCATCGTTGATTGGATGTCGGCGGACGTCATATGAAAGTGTCTCTGTTTATTCTTGAAGTGACTGCTGGCTAGAAACAAGTGATTATCAAAGCGAAATTGTAACAGACGATCATCGTTGACATGCTACTTCGTAGATACTCAAGATGCTTTTCCGATTGGTTCAGCTTTCCTCACGGAAGCATTGAAGTCACCTGTTAATATAACTATATTTGAACCTTATGCTTTCTGTAGAAAAATTAACAGCTTTTGGTGGAATTCATTCTTTGTATCATCCAAACTGCAGTCAATGGACAGAGACTACCAATAGGTGTCGGTGTGTCACGAACTTTTTTAAGTCCTTACAGATGCATTCAGTTGAACAAGGGCACTCCTGGTAATTGAATGATGTCCAGTGGAGAAATGTGCTTTTTTCAAGAACTTATTGCTATATCTGCACCTAATGGTCCATGAAAGCTAGCCGCTAAATCTATGCATACTCGTAAAATAAATTTTACACATTTACACCATTGGTCAAGTGAGTTCAAATGAGTAGAGACAGATAGGCAGACAAAATTAACATAACTTCACACAGAAGTGCATCCTTTAAAGTTGCCACTCTACACAGCAGCATGCATAGAACACATAGGTACTGATTTCAAAGTGGAGAAATGTGCTTGGGAGAAGAAAGGAGTTAAACATTTCTACTATTGTGGCCGATTTTTAGCCATATCACCACATTCTATTATCTCAAGGACCCAAGTAAGATAACCTACACATTGCTAGATGGGTCAGACTAATAACCACAGACATCATTAAACGGTACTTTGCCTTCATTTGATCAGCCTTATTCTTCTTTCAATCCCTCTACAGCCCTAACATTGCATGTCAAGTTAGACGGTGGCTCGGCATGTACAATACACGTTTAAGTCACCTCAGTCAGTGAAGTTTCATGAGGTCATCAATTGACTAGGCCTAAGACACTGGTCCAAGCACAGGTATATCTGCGCCTAAATGGACGTAGGAAAACTGTAGCAACAAGACCAGTGCGAGTACAGTCCGAAGATGAGAGAACCCGGCCGATACTTGCTACCTTGATGTCGTGGTCAGATTTGTATATCACGATGACCCAACGAGCTATGCTGGTGGAACGCTTTTTTCCTCAAGGTCCTGCATACCAGAAAGGTTTGTGGAAGGTGTTTAGACAAAAAAACAGTTACCATTACCCTTACAATGTTCTTAAACAAGGAGACGATGCATTATGATGGCTTAGATCAGTCATCAGTGGTTAGTGGTGATCCAAAACCACAGAACTACACCTTCCACAATAAAAGCCTTCCAAGGTGTGGGTAACCAGGAGGTATCAACCGCCCTCATAACTCTGTCAGTGCTCAAGAGTTCCCTCAGACTATTACACACCTCCATCACCCTTACCTTCTAATCTTCCCATTTTTCAGTTAACAATCCTACATCATCTATAATTTCGTCGAGTTCTGCAGCTTTCGATAACAATCTGGGTCCACAGAACAGCATCACTGGTTTTCTCTAAAGCGCACATTTGAACCTTCAATGTCCACACCCTCTGTCAAGTTGGTCAACAAGTTTCGTTGGTCAAAGTTTTAGCAACTCGAGCCATGGATGTGTGCTGCGTTAGTGAGACACACATACAGGACTCAAGTGCAGTTACTCACTTAGCCTCTCCCAGTCAATATGGTGAATCCGAAAAATCCACCCTTCGAGTTTCTGGAGATTCGATGGCCAGTTCTCGCGGTCTCGCAGGTGTAGGCACAGCACTAGGTACTAGGGAAGAAAGCTCACAACTAGACTGGATCCCAGTTGGCAGTCGCCTCTGCGCTGTCCACCTAAACGGCACAGCGAGAACAAAAAAAGAACAGTGAAACTCACCGTTGTCTCTTCGTAATCTCTACTTACGCACCCACTGACTGCAGCTCGGATGACGTGAAGGATGAGTTCTACTGGAAAATGTCTAGCCTCCTTCTGAAAGCCAGACGTTCACATGTTGTTTCTGTTGCAGGTGATTTCAAGTGAGTAGGCTAAGTCATGCAGAAAGGCACTTAGGTGTCACTTTTGGAATCCCAACCGAACGAACAGATAACGGCGATCACCGGTCACAACCATTTATTTCTGGCCAGAGCGAACTTCTGATGTCAAGAGGAACATTGTCTGATGTGGCGTCCACCGAGGTCATCTCAGTGACGGACACAGATAGACCACATTGCTTTCCGTTATTGCTAGAAGTGGTCAATGGAAGATTGCCACTCTTTCTGGAGCACGTGTTTGAACAGTGACTAAGCGTTGACTGGGACGCGTATATGTCTGCGTCCTAATGGGCGTGGGAAAAACCACAGCAAAAAGATCTTTGCGAAAACAATTCCACAATGAGAATACTAGTGCTTCTTTCCGCGAGAAATCGGGTAGACATTTATCAGATCAGGACAGAACAGTACTACCCATCTCAAAGAAGCCTGGTGCCACAAACGGTCTGCTCTAAAAACAGCGTTGAAGACCGTAGCCACAGTGGGACCAGCCTGCTGAACGCAGTGTCTAAGATCCTAGGTTCTATAACTATCAGATGTAAAGGTAGAGTTCCGGAATGTAACAGTAAAGGCGAGAAAATCAGACTTGGCTGTGGGTGTGTTGACCACATATTCACTCTGCGCTGGGTGATGGTAAGTAGACACACTTATCGTCACCTGAAACGAATCGAATTTCTCGACATGAAGACGACATTTAACTCCGTCTAAAGAGAAGCTTTATGGCAATTATCTGTCACTTAAAGGAGTATCGAGGAAGTAGATCATTCTATTGAAGGATCTGTGCACGAGTTATGTGAGATGTGTTGTCCACTGAATATATCCACTCTCTCCGTTCCCACTCAACTTTATCATAGGACATAAAGAAATCAACATGGGACCCCAAACACAAGTTCATCAGTTCAAGTTACATTTCGCATTAGTGTTCAAAGAACAAGTGGATAAGAAAGACTGATATTAAAGTAGGCGAAGGTGTATTTGAGGAGAAGGATACTGTTTCACTGTGTGACATTTCAAATAAACAGACTAAAATGAAATCAAAATCTACTGCAGTGCCCAAATTTTACTCCTATATTATTGCAGAGAAGGAATTTAGAAATTAAGTTCAGGTAAGACATTCGGGTTTTAGAGGGCGTGGAAAAGTGTATATCTCTTCACCATTGTGATTTACTTTCAACCATTTCACTGAGAGTCCTCAAGCCTTGATTTTTATCTTATCATCTTGCAGATTTCATACAGGTAGCTTACACCTCCCTGCCTGATTCAGACCAGCAAAAATAGACTGCACGGACTAGGGCAACGTCTTGTCCGGTCACTGTGAGCCCCCTACCAACCTAATCAAACTTATCCTACAATTGAAAGTCAAGGTAGGCAGGGGTTCGGTATGCGTGACACATGTCAGTCGATGAAGTTTCACAGCCCCATCAAACTGACTTTCCTACGTTAACATGGTGATTCAATCATGCACGATCACTGGTACAAAAAAACGTTGATCAATACCTGTAGCCAATTCATATCTACTTTCAAATGCCACTCCTGACATTCGTACAACAGGACAGAACGAACTGCAGCGCAGTATACTTGTCCTTTGATAGATAGTTGAATATCTCGCCAAATCGGCACCACAGGTGACACAAGTTGGCAAGTACCAAGGAGATTTCTGTATCCGAGCCGAGATTTTGTCAGCAACCAGACTGTTCCGTCTGATGCAACTCACCAAGTAGTTGGAATGATTGATGCATTCAACCAATTCACTCCCCATCCTTGAACTCGCAGTCAGCACAACCCAGCCCTGAAGCGTCATCTTACATTTGACAGTTCCAGTGAAACGCATGCCAAACATACTCAGATTTCTGTTCAACGTGTTGAGAAGATACTGCATTTATTTAGCGTCTTCCCTGAGAAGGGCGATATCGTTTGGATGCTCCAAGTCATTCACATACTCTCCACGGAGTAGACAATCCCTGTGAAGTCAGACGTACTGTCCATTAGTACATCCACAACGAAGTTGAACAGGATCAGTGCCAGTAAGCATCCCTGATGGACACCACTAGTTGTTGTCAACTCACACGACAACTCTCCAGAAGCCCTCACATGGATGCGTGAGTCCCGGTAGAGAGTCTTGATTAGTGTTATGCACTTGCTTGGTACCCTTCTCACAGTCGGACACTGCTACAACACCTCATGCTTGACAGAGTCCGACCACGTTTTCAGGTAAATAAATATGGCTAGTGTTGGTTGCCGGGTAGCATGTCTGTGTTTAACGGGGAAACTTTGATCGTTGCACCCTCGTCAAGGTTTGGAAACTTCCTGGTTTACTCGAGTTTGTTGCTTTTTGGCTCCACTTAGGTGTCGGATAACTGCGAGTCAGATGAACTGTGCAACG